GTACATGCAGTGCAGGTATCTACCAACAATTAGGTACTCAGGGCGCTGGTATTCATGTCTATTCTTAAATACAGGTAAATGAAGTTCATGAGAAATGTGAGACCCATTATGTAGCACCTTTATAAAGGGTTTACAAGGTGCTGAGGCACATATTGCAGCCACTGCCAGAAAAACTGGGGCAAACCCCTTCTCTTAGTGGAAGTGTTTCTGTGTTCTTTAACATGCATTACACAACACATGGGGCCTACGGCTTTCGTCCCATCCGAAGGACGAAACAACAATGGTAAAGTGCCTTGCTCAAGAGCACAAACACCATGTTCCCCGTCAGGATTTGAACCCATGTACCATGGCACATGAGTCGAACACCATAAACATTGGACCACAGCACCCCACATGAACTAAGCACCCTCGATATATCGATATTACTCGATTAATTGATATTATTTTTATATCGATATCGCCAAAAGCAACTTTTTCATCATATATCGAAATATCAAAATTTTGGATATTGCGGAATGGAAAATATCAAAAATGTCAGGTCTTCGTCAAAATACATGTAAGTCTCCCATTTGTGCGTTTACTTTGTGTTTTAACATTTACATAATGAAATAAAACTCGGCAGCAACTTGTGCATGTGACTCAAAATGAAAACATTGCAAAATGCCAAGTGGTATTCGCACTGCGTTTGCTGGAATTCGTGGTCTCCCCCAATGTAAAACTTGCAAAGAAACTGCCCGTTCAGGAGCGCTGGGGTTTATTTTAAAAAGTGTGAGCAATTCTGCAGAGAAAGCCGTAGAAAATTGGGACTTAACATTTTTTTTTGTATCACAGTGTCATCTTTTTGGTCTTCAACTTTTACATGAGGTCATATCGATTATTGAAAATTCTGATATCGACGTTGCTTAATATTGTGTACATGCATACAGCGGCTGCAGGGCTGCCAACTGTATATAAGAGCTCAGAGTGAGAATTTGCGATGGAATTAATCATGATAATGATAGTGTGAAGCGCGAAGCCCTAGCGACGTGGCTTCGGGGCCCGCTTAAGAGCCTGTAAAAAGTTTGGATGCTACATACACTCTGTGCGATGGTGCAATCTGAGGCAATTTCTTACCTCTACCACCAATACTATTTAGCAAAAGATCATCATTTAAACATCATTTTTGAGTTTAATTTATTTATCTTTTTCAGCGTGAGAAATCCCTTTGTGTGTATCCACCTGAAATGCATGAGTCTCGGGCTCAATGCATGAGAGTTGGCAGCCCTGGGCTACTGATCAAGTTGAAAAAAAGGACAAAAATTGTATATATATTCAGGGGGCCATATCATAAGTCCAACACATCATAGGTCCGACGCCGCATAAGTCCGACGCCTCATAATTCTGACGCCTCATAAGTCCGACAATGGACAATTGCTGTTTCAGACATATGAGGCGTCGGAGCTATGAGGCGTCAGACTAAGACCAAAAAAAAAAAGTCTCTGGTTTCTGATATGGAGCTTGTCCAAAAAGTGGTGCGACGACGCGGCTTTTTTTTTTTTTTTACCTGACTTTTTTGCTTCAAATATGCTTCAAATGTCGGCTGATGACTGCAAATGGTGCCCGACTAAACTTAGTGCAAATATATGTCCAGAGAGGCCACATAAAGCTTATTCTCGACCATAACCCCATCTAAAAACACGTTGAAATTGTGCAGCAGCAGAATTCCAGTCAAACCAGTGAGTTTGGCAGTTTTGAGACATCATCTTTCATTGAAAAAAAACCTTTTTCATTTTGCCGACGCGCATGGCTATGGCGACGCGCGCGCATACCAGAAACCGGAGACTTTTTTTTTTTGGCCTTATGAGCGGACCCCAAATTCAGTACAGCTGTACTGGTAGCTTAGGCTTAATTTACCACATGACATGGTTAACTTAGCTGAATTAATTAATGAGGCATAAGAAATGTAGGCATCCGTTATGGATGTTACGCATTCTGAAATGTACATTGTTCATGTAGGTTTATGATACCATACCACATTTGAGTTTGCGTTGATTGTAGTCTTTAAAGCTGCATACCCCGTGCTCTTCAAATAGTTGATTTTTTTTTCCCCCTAACAGATTTTCAATATCTACTCAAAATGTTATAATTTTGGACATCTGCAGTCCTCTAAAAAAGAAATTCCATTTTGTGGAATCCGCCTTGTGAGAGACAGAATATTGTCTAGCAGCCAATAACTCAACTTTTGTGATGAAATATTTCAAAAACTAAATGTCGGTGGATTTTTTTGTTCAATGTGTCATTCTTATAATTCTAGGAAAATGGCAACTGAAAACAAAAAATCTATTTCTTGAAGCAAAACTGAAAAAAGGGGGCGAGACATCTTTTCAAAATTTTCCACTTTTTAGTCGTGTCCAATTTTGCATGGAATTGCCGTTTTTGCCTGTGAAATATTGACTGCCTTGGAAGTTGTATTGGATGATAGAAACTCGGGTCTGTGAGAGAGGGGAGCGATATTCATCATTATGAGCACGACGGGCAAAAGCCAGTATTTACAGCATTCCACCGAAATCAATTTGAGTAGCTGCAGTAACCATCTATAGTGGTGAGGCAGGAAGCCAATAAAGAGTATACCAAAGTCTGACATCAGCTGTCATTGTTCTGGTTCACACACTGATTCCTTCACACAATGAAGCTATGGGCCTGAGCCAGAATACGTGGCACCCTTTGCTTCTCTGTTGACTTGACAATAAGTCACGCTCGAAAAAATAGACGTTGAAGTGTTGGTTGGCATAGAGTACCTAAGTCTGACGTCAGCTGTCTTTGTTGTTGTTCATGCTCTGGTTCACACGCTGATGTCTTCACACACTTACACTATGCACGTGAACCCTCCATGTCGACCGCAATATTTTTTGAAATATTCTTGTCATGAAGTAGCCTGAGTCATTCTCACTTCATCCTGTAAAGGAGCTGCGAGCAACATGCAGCTGAGCGAAATTTTGAACTAAAGTTTCCAACATTGTGTCTTGAATTGATGTAGGCTTTAATAATTGAAACAAGGCTTTGATAGTCAAATCCGTTGGTTTCTCGGCTGACTCGTTGATTCTTGATGAAACTGTCTAATTTTTCCAGGAAAAAACGCTACTTGATGCTCCAGGATTTTGGGCTAATGGATGTATCTTCTTTGGCGGACATAAGGGAGATATCTGTCAGTCTGTTAATGCACGCAACATTTGTGCATGCTGGCAAAATACATGTACGTGATATTGTCATTTTCTAAAGCCAGTATGAAGATAAAAAATGTACCTTGAAATTCTAACAGTTGGTGTTTTACTTGACTTGGTCATTGTTAGTTGTAATTCTTGTAGCGCCCCTACTCTTGGTAAAGCTGGTAGGTCTGCCTGCCATTCTGGTTGGATACCATGGAGAGGTGCATGCTACTTGCTGACAAAGGATCACTTCAACTGGTTTGATGCCAGAGATGCGTGTCGTAAGATGGGAGGTTCACTGGCAGTACCGCGGTCTGAAGAAGAAAATGACTTTGTCACTGGAATCATACAAGAAGGAGGAGAAGGTCGAGTTTGGATCAACTGCAATGACCTGGAAAGGGAAGGTGACTGGAAATGCAGCAATGATGGAGTGGAATCTCACTTCATCAACTGGAAAGCAATAGAGCCAGATAATGCAGCTGAACATTGTGTCATGATGGGAATCGATGGAGGATGGGCTGATGCTTATTGTTCAAGAGAGCTGCTGTTTCTCTGCAAGGCTGCCCAGCCAATCCTGCACCTCTAGAAATGCCGAACAAGACAGTGTATTAATCAGGGGTATAAACAGGACAAAGGATTGCATCCTTGATGATATATATAACGTTGAAATGTGTACCAAATAGTTAAGATATGTTTGTGGTTTTTTTTTTTTCAAACAAAGCTGACTTGCGTACTTTTTTGTTTATTGTGAGACAGACATTCTCAAAGCAACCTCATTTTTTTGGAACAGTTTTATGTGTAAGGACCAGTCAAATAATCTGTACATGTGTCTGCCAAGTATGGATGATACAAATGTATTTGCATGCAGCTCAAAACGTGTTCATGATTCCTTCACTTTTTGCATGTTTTGTACGGTTAATTCATCAGGCCCTCATATTTTCATCTCAATGTATGGATTGTGCAGTGCGCATTGCTGATCTGCTGATAGTTTGACTGGAGAACTGAGTTGTAGTTGAGTCAGTCACAAGTCTTCAAAAGACATAAGCCATCACAAGTCATCACAAACCGTCATAAGCCATCACAAGTTATCAAAGGTCATCACAAGCCATCATAAGCCATCACAAGTCATCACAAGTCCATCTCAATAATCCAGTCTCAAGTTAGGTCGCAGTTTATTCAAATGAAATTTGACAGAAGTATTTCTTTGTCATTGTTCATCCTCTGTCATGTGACCTGCCTTGTGAATTGAGTTTTGATTGACGTGTGATTGACTCGATGGCAACTCTGCTTATAAATGAAAATATAATCAGCAACTTTCTCCAAGCTGCATACATCTTTAGTATTGACATCCATTTTAATGGTCTCTTATATGGATGGGCTGTGACTGACAACTGTAATATAGCTTGCCTTTGTATAATCATCCACTGAGCCCTTCAAATACAATCTTGTTTTATCTGGACCATCTCTTATTACTTTTGCGTTAAGGTAGGCCTGAGTAATTGATGCCTGTCCATCATTGTATTGAAAAGACTGGAAGGAAAGTAAATATCACTGGATGATATTGGATGCAGTCCTCATTTGAGTCAAGACATATGATCAGTACACTTCAACAGGGAGTTGCGTTGTTATCGGCAAGTGCAGAGGATTCCTCAATTCTTACCTTGCTTACTGAGCATATTTGGTGGTTTAAAAGATAGTACATGTCAGTACATTGTGTCAGATCTGAAGCCATTTGTTCTCTGACACAGTGAAACACACTGGATGATACTAGTTCATCTGGACTTTACTGTTCAGTAACATATCTGTTTTGTCACAATGATCTCAGCGGCTTTCTTGATTGGTGTTTTGCTGTGCAGTAATCATATCCAGGTGGCTTTGGTAACCAGTGATTCTTGTAGCGCCTCCACTCATGGTATAACTGGTACATGTAGGTCTGCCTGCCGTTCTGGTTGGATACCATGGAGAGGTGCATGCTACTGGCTGGCAAAGGATCACTTCAACTGGTTTGATGCCAGAGATGCGTGTCGTAAGATGGGAGGTTCACTGGCAGCACCGCGGTCTGAAGAAGAAAACGTCTTTGTTGCTGGAATCATACAAGAAGGAGGAGAAAGCCGAGTTTGGATCAACTGCGATGACCTGGAAAGGGAAGATGACTGGAAATGCAGCAATGATGAAGTGGAGTCTCACTACTTCAACTGGAATCACGGAGAGCCCAATAATGCAAGAGAAGATGAACACTGTGCCATGGTCCTTTCTGGAAGATGGTCTGATGCTCATTGTTCAAGAGAGCTGCTTTTTCTTTGCAAGGCTGTCCAGCCAATCCTGCACCTCTAGAAATGCTGGATAAGTGCATGAATTTGGAGAATAAAACAGGGGAAAGGATTGCATCCTTAATAATATATAACACTGCTGTCTCTGCCTAGCAAATTAAACAAACAAACAAACAAACAAACAAACCAGCAGTCAAAACCAATCAAGTGACTGCTTTTAACAGTTGAGTGCTCCCAGCTTACAAGAAGCAGGATTGATGGGCTGTGACTGTCTCTGTAACTTGACACAGCTATGCTTTGACTGTAGCTGATATAAAATTCCTTTTGTCCGTGATGGAGTTTGACAAGTCACAGTGCTTACAAGAAATGTGATCTGTTGGTGACTAGCCTTTGTATAAAGGCTCAGCATGCAGGGCAAATTGATTGATATTTTGACTGTCTGTGACTGTTCAGACAGCAGGAGGGCTACATGTTCCATACTGGTGGTACTTTAGTACATAACATCATGCAAGCTGATTGGATTGTAGTCATAGTAACAGCATCGGGAATCTATTGAATTTGAAATCTGACTTAATTGTTTCAGTATTGATTGTTGCCAGTGTGTTGCCAGTACGTACTTGGTTTACTATATGTGACTCTCTATTACAAAACAAGTAAGCAGTGGTAATTGATGTCATGCAACCTCTAGCTTGGCCTTATTAGCTTCTTTTGTGATTTGCGTCAGCTCAAAAAACGTGATCACAATCCAATTTTCTGTTTGGGATGTCATTGATTTTACTTAAAGGTGCATCCTTTGGAGTCTTTGTTACAACTTAAGACTCTACCACGCATTTCACAGTGATGCGTGTGTCACCACTTAACCACTGACTCAAAGAGTCTTTAAGGAAAGTAAATATCACTGGTTGATACTGGATGCAGCACACGTTTCGGTCAAGTCTTGTGATGTGTACACTTCATATCTACAGGAACAATCTTGAACCATTTGTTGTCTGACACTTGTTTTAATAGTTGAACTCCTCTACATTGTGACTTAATTTGGACATAACCTGAAGTCAGCCACATCTGTTCTGTAACTATGTTCTCAGCAGCTTTCTTTATTAGTGCTCTGCTGTGCACTAATCATTTTCAGGTGGCTTTGGCTACCAGTGATTCTTGTAGTGCCTCCACTAGTGGTATAACCGGTAGGTCTGCCTGCCGTTCTGGTTGGATATCATGGAGAGGTGCATGCTACTTGCTAACAAAGGATCACTTCAGCTGGTTTGATGCCAGAGATGTGTGTCGTAAGATGGGAGGTTCACTGGCAGCACCGCGGTCTGAAGAAGAAAACGACTTTGTTTCTGGAATCATACAAGATGGAGGAGAAAACAGAGTTTGGATCAACTGCAGTGACCTGGAAAGGGAAGGTGACTGGAAATGCAGCAATGATGGAGTGGAATCTCACTACTTCAACTGGAATCAAGAAGAGCCAGATAAAGCAGATGAACATTGTGTCATGATGATTCTCACTGGAGCATGGGCTGATGCTTATTGTTCAAGAGAGCATCTTGTTCTTTGCAAGTCTTTTCAACCCACCCTGCACTTGTAGATGCCAAATCCTTCTTGAGTTTTCAATTCAGATTTGATTTTTTTTTACTGTTTCACTCCTGCAACTTGGTATGGAATAGTCTGCTTAGCATTGGTGACATTTGGTTTTCTCTGAACACCAATTCCTCTTTTTTTTTAAAGAATCAGAATAAAATTCAATATATTTGGGATATAGAAACAAGAACATCAACCATGTACATGTACAATTGTTTAAATTAAGAATTGTTCTATCAACCCAAACAAGATGAAGTAAAATTTAAGAAATTATTGATTTGATGAAATTTGTGGGTTTGGATGTTCTCGTATTGTATACAAACAATGTAAATAATGTAGCCAACAGTGCCTAATGTTAATTACCTTGTTCAGAAAGTTGTGATTTGTTTTTTGCACTTTAAGCATAGATACATGAATCATACCAAGATGCTTTTAGCCCTTGCAAAGCAAATTTTATTAATAGTATTAGTAATTCCTGTCTTAGAAGGGCCTTAGATGAATGCAATGTATTTGACTTGTTAAAATGGTTAATGCAAAAGGAGGGTTAAAGGGAATATACCAAACCAGATTATCATGAAAAACCTTGCTGGACTGTTAGTGAATGACAGTCTAATTCATGACACCTGGTGTGCTGACATTTTCAAGAACAACTATAAATTTCCAATGCTGGTCGGCGGACCAGTGTTGAAAAAACTGGCTTTTTCAAATACTTCTCCCTATTTATCATATAGTTTACACACCTATGATGGGTACAATCCAGCTAGACTGGTTCCCTGACCTTACAAAGCCCCAAAGTCTATACATCTCTCTGTTTTATCTTAAGTGGGGTCAGGGAATCAGACTTCAAGAGCGTGATTATTTTTCTTGGTTTTTCCAGTATCTAAAAACACAAAACTTCAAAAACAAGTCAGTGTAACAATATTTGCTATAAAATGCTAATCCCCAAATCCATACATTTCTGAAAATTACAGCAAAAGCAAATGTTGTATGGTGTATTCCCTTTAAATCACTAAGATTTGAACAGCTGTATATACATTCTACATTGTTATATTTTCTTGTAGGTCTTTAAAATTCTGGGGAAACCCCTAAACATTTTGTGGAAAGGATAGACTCGCTATAGGAACCTATCTTGTTAAAGCTATAGTCCATCATTTGCAGCCATCCGAAAAGTAACTGGCGTAACTATTGTTGAAAAACCAACTTGGTTGAAAGATAGTAAGGGAACTAAACTCCCTGTAAAATTATTCTTTCTGGGAAGCCAAGCTGCATACGTCTTTAGTATTGACATCCATTTTAATGGTATCTTATATGGATGGGCTGTGACTGACAACTGTAATATAGCTTGCCTTTGATGTATAATCATCCACTGAGCCCTTCAAATACAATCTTGTTTTATCTGGACCATCTCTTATTACTTTTTCGTTAAGGTAGGCCTGAGTAATTGATGCCTGTCCATCATTGTATTGAAAAGACTGGAAGGAAAGTAAATATCACTGGGTGATATTGGATGCAGTCTTCATTTGAGTCAAGACGTCTGATCAGTACACTTCAACAGGGAGTTGCGTCGTTATCGTCAAGTGCAGAGGATTCCTCAATTCTTACCTTGCTTACTGAGCATATTTGGTGGTTTAAAAGATAGTACATGTCAGTACATTGTGTCAGATCTGAAGCCATTTGTTCTCTGACACAGTGAAACACACTGGATGATACTAGTTCATCTGGACTTTTCTGTTCAGTAAAATATCTGTTTTGTCACAATGATCTCAGCGGCTTTCTTGATTGGTGTTTTGCTGTGCAGTAATCATATCCAGTTGACTTTGGTAACCAGTGATTCTTGTAGCGCCTCCACTCATGGTATAACTGGTAGGTCTGCCTGCCGTTCTGGTTGGATACCATGGAGAGGTGCATGCTACTGGCTGGCAAAGGATCACTTCAACTGGTTCGATGCCAGAGATGCGTGTCGTAAGATGGGAGGTTTCCTGGCAGCACCACGGTCTGAAGAAGAAAATGACTTTGTCACTGGAATCATACAAGATGGAGGAGAAGGCCGAGTTTGGATCAACTGCAATGACCTAGGAAGGGAAGGTGACTGGAAATGCAGCAATGATGGAGTGGAATCTCACTATATCAACTGGGGCCCCACAGAGCCAGATAGAGCAGATGAACACTGTGTCATGATGCATATCGATGGAAAATGGGCCGATGTCATGTGTACAAGAAATCTTCTTTGTTTCTGCAAGGCCATTCAGCCAACCCTTCATTTGTAGACAAGGCAGTCCTCCAGCTTTGAACTGGTTTCCAGGAGCTGTTATTTGAGAGCTTGGTTTACAAGCATCTTGCTATGATAAGAGTTCTCATACAAATTGATACTTTTTGACTGGTCATGTTAACAAATCTGGATCCTGCTGGATGTTGTGGAATTGGGCTGATATGCATTGTTTTCAATCGACTGTGAACTTACAATCGTGTCTGTTCAGCAAACATCGCTTTCTAGAATCTGTGATATGAAGATGTAATTTTCATCAGATGGAATTTCTGTTAAATGATGTAAATTTTTCTTGTTTGGTTCTTGCAGCATGTTTGTTGATTTTAGTAGCAGATGTTCTTCAGACGTTTTAGTTATCAGTACTTGATTGCATTAGGATCAGAGGGCTACTTCACATAGGAACGCACTCTTAATCTACAATCAAGTCAACTTTGTGACAACACAGGAAAGTTGGCAACCAGCTTTTCAGGATCAAGCTTAGCCCCATAAATGTGGCCAATTTACTGGACTACCTCCGTAAATAAAGGCCACACTTCCACCATGTACAAAAACGCGTCGAACTTTGTCAAATTGTGATTTTCACATTTAGGTTTAGTTTGTAGGGTTTTTTTTGCTTTAGAAAGCATACTCACCCTCTTTATACATGTAGGCTAATCAGAAAGTGCTGCCTTTTCCATATGTCTATTTTTCGTGAAATTTCCAGATTCGTTTGCACAGTTGCGTATCAAATTTCAACATGAAATTTCACAAAAAGTAGACATCTGAAAAAGGAAGCACTTTCTGATTAGCCTATAAAGAGGGTGAGAATGCTTCTAAAGCAAAAATAAACTACGTTGTACAAACTAAGCCTAAATGTGAAAATCACAATTTGACAAAGTTCAACATGTTTTTGTACATGGTGAAGGTGTGGCCTTTATTTACAGAGGTAGTCCAGTAAATTGGCCACATTTATGGGGCTATATCAAGCTGTGCTTAAACAAAAAGATGTTGATATGTGTGACAATTGCAATTGGTATACATGGTACATGTATATGATATCAGGAAGAGCAACATCACTTGGCATTCTTTATGAATATGTGCAATATTTCCTGTACATTATCAAAATTCATATGTTGTGTGTGTTTTTTTTTTGGCGGTATAATCAAGCCTTTGTATTATTTGAAACATACTTTTTGGTATATTGAGATCAATAATGCAAGATAGAATGTATCATGATGCTTCTTGATGGAAGGTGGGCCAATGCCTTTTGTTCAAGAGAGTATATATATCTTGTTGTGTGCAACACTGTTCAACTAACCTTGCACTTTTTTAGAATCTTAACTGCCATGATAACTATTTGTTGTGTGGATTTATCCGCTACCAACATCTTTCACAGCACTGACATATTTTTTTTAAATTCTAACCTGATAATGATAGAGTCGGAGGGTTTGCCTCCACCATCGCATTTCAGAGAAAAAAAAATTGCAATATGAGGAATGAAACAGCAAAGCTTTCAATTAGTTACAATACTGTAAAATGCTGTTTCATGTATACTTTCATACATATCTACATGTGTACATGTACATTCAAAGCGATCAACGTACCATAACTAATAATACATGTAGATTACCACAAAATAAGTCTTAACGGCAGATTTCTCAGCCATTTTCATATGCATTAGAAAGAGCATATTCGGGTCTTTGGTTAAATTGCTTTCACAGTTTGACATTGTGATGTATAGGCATTAATAATATGTTTGAATGAACAGGTATACAAAAAGATCGGTTCATACTCAGTGCGAAAGCATTAGGCAAGCGTGAATATGTGACGTCACGGCAAGTTTTCACACTGCGAATTCCCAAACGTTGACTATATCTCAACGCCACTGAATTTTGCAGCAAGCTTTTTGTGACGTCAATTGAGCATTGCATATGTTTTCGACCTTTAAATGTGCCAATCTGTTCACAATGCATATTGGCACAAAATTTACGCTTGTTTGATTGTAGTCATAGTAACAGCATCAGGAATCTATTCAATTTGAAATCTGACTTAACTGTTTCAGTATTGATTGTTGCCAGTGTGTTGCCAGTACGTACTTGGTTTACTATATGTGACTCTCTATTACAAAATAAGTAAGCAGTGCTAATTGATTTCATGCAACCACTAGCTTGGCCTTGATACATGAAGCTTCTTTTGTGATTTGCGGAATCTCAAGAAACGTGATCACAACAGTACTCTGTATTGGAATATACATGTAATTGATTTTACCTAGGTGAATCCTTTGGAGTCTATGTTACAACTTAAGACTCTACCACGCTTTTCACAATGATGCGTGCGTCACCACTTAACCACTGACTCAAAGAGTCTTAAAGGAAAGTAAATATCACTGGTTGATACTGCATGTAGCACTCATTTCAGTCAAGTCTTGTGATGTGTACACTTCATATCTACAGGAACAATCTTGAACCATTTGTTGTCTGACACTTGTTTAAGTTGAACTCCTCTACATTGTGACTTAATTTGGACTTAACCTGAAGCCAGCCACATCTGTTCTGTAACTATGTTCTCAGCGGCTTTCTTAATTTGTGCTCTGCTGTGCACTAATCATATTCAGGTGGCTTTGGCTACCAGTGATTCTTGTAGTGCCTCCACTCATGGTATAACTGGTAGGTCTGCGTGCCGTTCTGGTTGGATACCATGGAAAGGTGCATGCTACTTGCTGGTAAAGGATCGTTTCAACTGGTTTGATGCCAGAGATGTGTGTCGTAAGATGGGAGGTTCACTGGCAGCACCGCGGTCTGAAGCAGAAAACGACTTTGTTGCTGGAATCATACGAGAAGGAGGAGAAGGCCGAGTTTGGATCAACTGCGATGACCTGGAAAGGGAAGGTGACTGGAAATGCAGCAATGATGGAGTGGAGTCTCACTACTTCAACTGGAATCAAGGAGAGCCCAATAATGCAAGAGAAGATGAACACTGTGCCATGGTCCTTTCTGGAAGATGGGCTGATGCTCATTGTTCAAGAGAGCTGCTTTTGCTTTGCAAGGCTGTCCAGCCAATCCTGCACCTCTAGAAATGCCGGATAAGTGCATGAATTTGGAGAATAAAACAGGGGAAAGGATTGCATGCTTAATAATATATGACACTGCTGTGTCTGCCTAGCAAATTAAACAAACAAACAAACAAACAAACAAACAAGCAGTCAAAACCAATCAAGTGACTGCTTTTAACAGTTGAGTGCTCCCAGCTTACATAAAGCAGGATTGAGAGGCTATGACTGTCTCTGTAACTTGACACAGCTACATGTATGCTTTGACTGTAGATGATTTACAAGTCAGATGCACACCCATGTAGATAAAATTCCTTTTGTCCGTGATGGAGTTTGACTAGTGACAGTGCTTACAAGAAATGTGATCTGTTGGTGACTAGCCTTTGTATAAAGGCTCAGCATGTAGGGCAAATTGATTGATATTTTGACTGTCTGTGACTGTTCAGACAGCAGGAGGTTTACATATACATGTTCCATGCTGTTGGTACTTTAGTACATAACATCATGCAAGCTGATTGGATTGTAGTCATAGTAACAGCATCAGGAATCTATTTAATTTGAAATCTGACTTAACTGTTTCAGTATTGATTGTTGCCAGTGTGTTGTCAGTACGTACTTGGTTTACTGTATGTGACTCTATTACAAAATAAGTAAGCAGTGCTAATTGATTTCAGCTTGGCCTTGGTACACATAGCTTCTTTTGTGATTTGCGGAATCTCAAGAAACGTGATCACAACAGTGCTCTGTATTTGAATGTCATTGATTTTACTTAAGTGAATCCTTTGGAGTCTATGTTACAACTTAAGACTACCCGGTACTGCTACCACGCATTTCACAGTGAGGCGTGCGTCACCACTTAACCACTGACTCAAAGAGTCTTTAAGGAAAGTAAATGTCACTGGTTGATACTGCATGTAGCACTCATTTCAGTCAAGTCTTGTGATGTGTACACTTCATATCTACAGCAACAATCTTGAACCATTCGTTGTCTGACACTTGTTCTACATGTACGGTAGTTGAACTCCTCTACATTGTGACTTAATTTGGACTTAACCTGAAGCCAGCCACATCTGTTCTGTAACTATGTTCTCAGCGGCTTTCTTAATTGTTGCTCTGCTGTGCACTAATCATATTCAGGTGGCTTTGGCTACCAGTGATTCTTGTAGTGCCTCCACTCATGGTATAACTGGTAGGTCTGTGTGCCGTTCTGGTTGGATACCATGGAAAGGTGCATGCTACTTGCTGGTAAAGGATCGTTTCAACTGGTTTGATGCCAGAGATGCGTGTCGTAAGATGGGAGGTTCACTGGCAGCACAGCGGTCTGAAGAAGAAAATGACTTTGTCACTGGAATCATACAAGAAGGAGGAGAAGGCCGAGTTTGGATCAACTGCAATGACCTAGAAAGGGAAGGTGACTGGAAATGCAGCCATGATGGAGTGGAATCTCACTACTTCAACTGGAATCTAGGAGAGCCCAGTAATGCAAGAGAAGACTGTGTCATGATACACTTCTCTGGAGGTTGGGCTGATGCCTTTTGTTCAAAAAAGTATCTTGTTCTTTGCAAGTCTTTTCAAACAACCCTGCATCTATATTAAAACAATCTTGAGTTATCAATTCAAGTTTGATGATTTTTTTTTTTACATTATTTCCATTTAAACACTGGTTCAGTGCTATAACTCTTGGTATGGAACAAACCCAATTCCTTTTTTTGTAAAGAATCAGAATAAATATTCAATATGTTTGGAATACAGAAACAAGAGTATCAGTCATATACATATACAATTCTATAAATTAAGAATGTCTTTATCAATCCAAACTGGAGGAAGTAAAAAATTAAGAAATCAGTGATATGATCTGTGAAATTTGTAGCTTTTAATGTTCTCGTATTGTATACAAACAATGTACATAATGTAGCCAACAGTGCTAATGTTAATTACCTTGTTCAGAAAGTTGTGATTTGCTTTTACACTGTAATCAAAATACATCAATCATACCAAAATAAATTAGCCCTTCTGAAGCAAATTTAATAAATTTTTATAGTATTAGTAATTCCTGTCTTAGAAGGGCATTAGATTTATTTGACTTGTTAACGCAAAAGGAGAGTTAAAGGGAATATATAACATTTGCAAACATAAAAAAAATAACTACCAACTTATTATGAAATACCTTACTAGACTGTTAGTGAATGACAGCCTAAAGCATCCTGTAAAATCATGACACCCGGTGTGCTGACGTTTTCAAGAAACATGGTATTTTTGTATCAATTTCAATGCTGGTCGGTCGACCAGTGTCGAAAAAAACCTGGCTTTTTTGCAAATACTGCACCCAATTTATAATATTTGGTTAGTCAGCATTTTGTTTGCAATTGATTACACACCTATAAACGGGTTCAAGCCAGCTAGACTGGATCCCAGACCTTACAATTCCCCGTCTTCTATACATTTCTCCGTTTCGTCTTAAGTGGGATCAGGGAACCAGACTACAAGAACATGATTGTTTTTCTTGGTTTCTCCAGCCTTGACGCACACAAAACTTCAAACAAGTCAGTGTAACAATATTTGCTATAAAATACTAATCCCCAAATCCATTTCTGAAAGTTACAGCAAAAGCAAATGTTGTATGGTGTATTCCCTTTAAATCACTAAGATTTGAACAGCTGTATATACATTCTACATTGTTGTATTTTCTTGTAGGTCTTTAAAATTCTGGGGAAAAACCCCTAAGCATTTTGTGAAAAGGATAGACTCACTATAGGAACCTATCTTGTTAAAGCTATAGTCCATCATTTGCAGCCATCCGAAAAGTAACTGACGTAATTATTGTTGAAAAACATACTTGGTTTAAAGATAGTACATGTAAGTGGACTAAACTCCCTGTGAAATTATTCTTTCTGGCAAGCTATCATTTTGAAGTAATCAACGAGAGAAGGCCTTTCCAACGGTGCGTCTTAAGACGCACCGTAGGAAAATTTTAATTAGTAGTTCGTTTTGTTATTCGGCAAAGCGCGCGCAAGCATTGGCACGACGCACACGCGCGCGGTTGCTATAATTCGTCGGACCAGTGCGCGAAATCACGTATAGCTGCATTCGGCTCAGTGAGAACGCATCTCGGACGCTGAATTCAGGCCCAATTCAAAACATGATTCAGCAACTTTTGATTTGAAATTGAGATCCTAGAATGCTGTTTTTCTTGGAATATATATACAGCTGAAGCTGAGCTGAAACTTCATCGGGTTTATAGTTGTTCAGCATCCTTCATTAGATTTTGAACACTTTTGTTGCTTCAAACGAACAAAATGCACAAATTACAAATGATGGACTACATCTTTAACCTTTAAGTTTGTGAGAGTAGGTCTGGTGTACTGGTAGTTGCCATAGGCGAATAAGGTAATGGTTCATCACTATAGAAAGTACACTACATGTACATGTACATTGTATTTGTAAATATTTCAGCACATTCTCTCAATGTTTTGCACTTTTTAAAAAATAGGTACCAACATGTATACACACCTTTGTGTCTATCAAGCTTTGATTTTAAACAATATTTTCACGTATAACAATGTATGTGTATATCAATACAAGCAAATATGTAAATTGATAGTGTGCCTTTTTGTTAGTGGTAGTTTGAGACAGTTTTTGATGATGTTAAAAATAGTACGTTTCAGTTTTGTGTATAGTTTTTGTGCTATGTTGTAGCAACCAGAACTCAATGTGCAATAAAATAATGAATAATGCAAATATTTGTGTGAAGCTTTGCCTTTTAAGATGGTTTTAAAATGTTGCACTTCAAATATTAATATTGCCAAAAAGGAACTGGGTTTTTAAAACCTAAGGGTGAGGACTATATTCCAAAGTTTAATGGTTACCAAAACATTGACTAAAGAAACACATTAGATTTATGCAACTGTGTTGTTGTTGTTTTCTTGGGTGGAAAACAGTGCTGGAAGGAAACTTCACAGGAAAAAAATGTTGTTGGAAAAGGTATCTTGGAAAACACAATCATCTGGAGTTTGAATTGACAAGGAGTCTATGGACTATGGCCTTGCACAGCGAGGGGCTATGATACATGTATATGAGTAGATTTAGCAATTAATTGAGCAAAACAAGACTGCGTCTTAGCCTCAAGATTCTGACCTGACTCGGTGCCTTCTGTATTTAGTCTTCAGTAACCCGTTGTTGTATTACAAAAACATGCCATCTGAATGTACCAATCAGCAGCTAAGTCCACTTTTCTGATCGGAATGACGTCACAGTTTTTAAAAATTGACTCCGATTGGCTGGCATGGGTCGTATAAAATTTGCATGTTGGCTATATCATACGTTCGACTGTGGCTCAGCATATGTGAATGCCTCAGACTAATTGAAAAGTGAAGCATTACTAAAAAAAACCTGGATATGAAACAACCAAGGCCTCAGTCAGGGGAGATTGCCTGCCAATATTGCTATGTGGTCTAAACACTACATGCAAAACAAAAACAGAATACACTTTAACCCTAACTCCCTGGATCAACTCCTCCAAAACCCATCACTGACCCTGCTCAGGGTTCGACCTTTACTTTTTTGTTAACTAGCCAGCCGGGCTATACTGAAACAGACTGTTAACTATAGCCTGCGGGCATTTTCATTAGCCGAAGTTTTTTTTCTTCCTATCCTTTCATCTTTGCCGTATCCCAATAATTTTTTGACTCGCCAGCCGGCCCGGGCTACTTAAGGAATAGTTTGACTAGCCCGCCGCTGTTTTGACTAGCATTTGGCTAGCGGGCTACCGCTAATTTCGAACCCTGCTGCTTCACATAATGCTTTAGGACCCAAACCGCTGAAATCCACTTCAAATTCACCACTACTATATGTGGATTTTGATATACTGGGTACACACGGCTTGTCTGCCAAAATCTTTCCCAAAGTGGGGATTGATTTTGATGGAGTTGGGAAGGTTAGGGTTAGCAAACCTAAACATTGTGCATTACAAATACAACATTCAAGAGAAGTGCTCAACAGAATGCACTTTAAGAAAAACAAACATGAAAAAAAGTATGAAAACAAAACATTTAACAAATATATTTAACATACCACAAAACAGAGATCTACTGTCATCTCTGGTGGTTGCCCGAGCAACTTGGGCCTTATCGCCTTTTTAACATTTGGACATGGTCCGGCGATAGCAGGACCCAAGTTGAATGTCAGACATGGCGTTTCAAATAATTAATGACCCAACCATTGGCCAACAAAAAACACCAGTTTTCACCCTCAAAACAGCCTAAGAATTACTAGATGCAAAACCTGAGATACAAGTAGAGATCGATGATGGTACTGAGGTTTACTAACATTTTGGGTGAAAAGTAAATTTTACCGTTCTCAGCAAGGGCTCCGTCACGAAATACCACGGGCCCAGATGTCAATTTGCAAAACACATACCTCTATAATTGGAATCGCAATCAAGGCAAAGTTAAGTAGCATTTTACTACAGACTTGGACAGGTTCTATATTGTGGCTCTGGCTGTAGGCACTGGACAAGTGTTCACTGGACATGCTGGAAAAAGTTCACTGGAGAAAGTTTACTCGTTATTTTCCAAAAGCATGATCGAGTCCAAGTCCACATTTTATAATCGCATGAAAAAGCAACAACGTTTATAGAAAGCACACGTGGTCATACCCACGAAAAAAAAGGAACTACCGGTACATGTACACTCTTTGCTGCACAGGCAAGGGTACTAGCGATACAGTGCTGTTTCACATGATGTGTTGATCTCAACGAAAGGTCACACAGTTACTTTGAGCTTCATAAAATCTGTTTGTTTTACTGGCTACAAATTTGAATGCAGGTACGTAGGTGCTTTTAAACATTTCATTAATACCCAACATCAATAGGCCTACATGAAATGTTGCTGTTTGCTGAAAAGAGGAATATAATCTGAGATTCCTTCAAACTGTTAATGCACCAGTAACCCATACGTAAATTTCATTGTTTTTTTGTTTTTGGTACAGACTCTATTCCTCTGCCGTGTTTTCCAGTGACTTTGAGACATTTGATCCGGCTGAAATCACAAGGAGACCAGTAGATGATCTGACATTGCAGATGAAGGTACGTACATCAGTCCATGTAAGACCTGGGCCCAAGGGCGGATCCAGAACACAACTTGGGGGGAAGGGCAAAAAATTTAGGTACCCCAAAAAAAGGGTTAAAAAAAATTACATTGAGGGGTTCGGGGCCGTCCAAGGCCCCAACAAATTTTGGATTCTAGATGCTCTGTGGTGCGATCTGAGGCAATTTCTGACCACTTTAACATTTTTTGAGAAAAAGATGGTGGTGAATGCAGTACCTGCCTTTATTGCGATCTTGCTTTTAAAAAAAGGGATCATGGGGGGGGGGGGGGGGGGCATGGCCCCTGTTGGCCCCCCCCTCTGATCTGCCCTTGCATGGCCAAGTTTTATGACTAAAGAGAACTACAGAAGTCTGTGCTTACGATTGCCAAAACAAACATTCTGCGCTAACCATGTAGCCACCGAATCTTTAGTTACAGGATACAGACTAATTCGGCCAAAGCCATTTTCTGAGGTGGAACCAGGCTTGTGCGAGTTGTGATAGGTAGTATGCATGTACTCCGATTTCAACAGGGGTGTGTGTGCCTCATCTTTAAGAAGGCGCGCGAGAGGACGTGGAACCACCTCAAACATGGCTTCTCATTTTGTTCGCTGGATTAGTCTATGCTTATGTGTAAAGCCAAAATTCCAAGCTGAACTGTGAAATAATGCTAACCATAGGTTCACCATTTTCTGCTACAGTAAACACAGATTTTTGCTCTTGTATGGTAACAGGGACATACAGGTTTGAAGGTTTTTTAAATTGCAGTGGTTGCTAGGTAACCTTCTCCTTTTAGTCTGATGACCTTATTCTGATGGAGACACTAGAAGTGTATTCAGAGTAAGCTTAGTCAAGCTCAGTTTCGCACCCTATGCATGGTAACCAGCACATGGATGCAGTGTGTTCCTCCAATGGAAGGTAGTCACAAAGTACCACTTCAGCTATGGACCTTTATCATGCTGCCACCATTTCAGTCATGTTCCCGGTATCCCATTACAGTACTGAATGATAATGCTTTTTGTGCAAAAAGGAAACAGACTATTTTTTCTTCCAGCCTCGTTTTGGTTACTTTGATTTGAATGGGAAAAAATCATGATGGCCATATCATAATTGTGGTCTATTTAGGTTGAATTAATTGCGGGCCAACGTAAAGAAATCAGAAAACATTGAAAATCCGACAAATCTCTGATTGTTGTTCAATGTTGATGCGGACAAAATCTTCATATACATATATGTACATGTACATTGTATCATTTAAAACATCAATTGTTGTTACTTCATAGGAAATGGGAATAGACAAGGTTGTGAATTTTCCGTTCCCAACACCCCCAGAACCTGAAGCTTTGAAGGTAAAGTAAATACAATATATATTTTGGTCGGATTGATACTTTCACAAATCGATAGCCTTCTGATTTATGTATGATTTTTAAAATATGATTTTGTTTTTACACGTCCTGCAAAATGGATTGTAAGAAATATTTTTTAAACGAATGATTGTTTACATTTGTTTGTTTTAACTTTACAAATTTCAATATTGAAAATGTTCTGTTGTAGCTAGACCATGTTCATCTCTCAGAGAATATTTTTTGTCAGATCAGTTTATTAATCTGTTTCCTTCAAATTTTAAACAATTGTTCATGAAATAATTTCACAATTGTTATATGTTTGCAGGCGGCAGAGAGGCTTTTGATATCGCTTGGCGCATTGGAAGTTCCTCCGAAAGTGTCAGGCTTCAAAGCATCCAAAAAAGGCAAGAAATTCTAAACTTTCAACAGTCACACTTTTGACACTCCATATAGTTTAGTTTAGTCCAAAATTTAATGCAGTCATTGTGGACAAGCATTACATTCACTGTGTGGACTTCCGAACAAAAGATGTCCACATAAACCAGGTAGCAGTGACATTGTGTGGACTTGCCCACGTCCACACAAGGTTTTCCCCTCTCTGAAAACAGGTTTAGAGGCATTTTTGGGTTAGGTTTATTCGTGGCAAAATGAAGAGAAACACTAAAGGGAATCATAGAAAAAAATTTGGTTGAAAAGTTTACACAGTTTAAGAAAAATGAGTTTTTTTTACTGGTTTTTCTTAACTACACGAAAAACAAAGGAATGTCCATACTAGGTATGTAAGACAAACATGGGTGTGCATTTATTTGCAACTATCTGTCAGTAACCAACACTAACTAAAAAAGAACCCAACAATTTCTGTTTGTAAAGTTGAAATTCTTTTTAAAAGTCTAATTCAGTTCACTTGATATGAAGTTCTAATCTATTTTAAAGCCAAGAAAGATTTGAGGCTTTGCATGGTGGAGATACTAAATAATGAAAGGTTTGCGGAAACACCATGTGCGAATAATTTCTCAACTAAGAGAATGGTTCTGAAAAGAACCAGAGGTATAAACTCGACGTTCCGGTCAGTATGCTCTGACCGTCTTTGGCTGAGAAATTATTCGCACATGGTGTTTCCACAAACCTTTCATTATTTTAAAGCCATTATAAGCGTGGAGTGTCTCAGGTCAGGGAGATGTAAAGTTCATATTGGGTTTTACATCATCAGTTTACATGTACGTACTTTGAAAACACTAAATGCTGAGGAAAAAAAACTCAATCGGTCTCGTTCTCAAATAACCTTACAGGCAGAACACAAAACCTGTTACGCAAATGTACAAATTTAAATGAAGTTACGTTGTGACAAAGGTCATGAGCATACCTTGATCTTTGACACAATGTGGGTTTAGGGTTGAAAGAGTGACATTTTTTCCTGTCTCTGTTACCTTGGTACTTTGTAATTTGCCATTCAAGTATCATTGAGAATGATTTCAAACAATTTTTTATTTGTAAGGTAGGTAGTTTGCTATTCATAATCACTGTTGGAGGACGATGCATTACAGAGTGCATCAGAATGATATAACAGGGACAGGAACATTTTGGACTCCATGTTTATCAGGGGTGTGAAATCTCAGCTTTAAAGCGGATTTAATAATTTTTTGTTTTGGATTGCAGCTTTTTTCCCTCACTTGCTCTGAACAAAAGTACAGGATATTTTCAAAGTTCAGCTTTTTTACACCATTTTCGGCTGTTTTCAGCTCTTTCTATCATGGTCACTCACACTCGTGGTTTATAGAACGACCCATATGAGTGTGACAGACAGTGTTCAAATTACAACATGACCTACTATCATATCTAATATTATTTTCGATGTCTTTCCTAACAGAATCCTTTGGTACAAGGATCACCCCTCTCGGTAAGACTATGGCTTGTTTTCCTGTGTCTCCGTGCTATGCTAGAATGATAGCCATTGGTCGACAGGAAGGCTGTCTACCGTACATCATCGCTTTGGTGTCTGCTCTGACTGTCAGGGTGAGTGTCTGAAGACCCAATTTGTCTGTGATGTTAAGCGTGGAATTTTCCGCAAACTTAACCTCAGATCCTTTCACAGTGTCTGTAAGCAGTATGAATAGTAGAAAGAGCACACTAACTTATGGCATTAATCTCTCTGTGATTTGTCGGACACATTCGAGGGCGCTATTTGAAGTGGGTAAACTCTTTTGCATTTACCCAAGTTTATCCACTCCGAAAAAGCACCGTACTATTGTGTCCACCATATTTGAACAAGGCTAAGGTCTGGGCCTCATTTTAGAGGCCCGTTTGTTGGAAAAACTACCAAGCAAATGTATGTGCCAAACAAAATTGTGTTAAACTTTGGAGATGAAACTTGGCCAAAAAGTATTATTGCAAGAATGTAGTTAAGTCAATTTTCAACACCCCCCCCCCCGGAAAACCCAACTTATCTATGTTTCCCACCCCTGGAGTACATACTTCAGAAGGATACTTGTTCCAATGACACTGTCTTATAAAGGTTATTTTGGTTGTTTTGGTCATAACTTGTGTTTTCTTTTTCAGGAAATCTTTGAAGTTGGGGATTTGCAGAGCGATGTTGCAGAGGAGGTAGGCTTTGTCTTATTTTTAAGATGAATACTTTTTAGTATGATTTTATCAGTTGTCTTACATCTTTCTTCAACTTTACTCATTTTCATGAACTCACTCATGATGTTAAAAAAAGTCATCCAAATAGATTTAGGTCAAAACAAAATGAACAAACCAAAGTTAATGAACAGGTTCAAAGTATTGAGTACCTTAGACTTAAAAGAAGTTGAGAAATTTTAAGCAATCAGTTGTAAAATTTTAATGCTTCCAAATTATTATTCTAACTGTGTTAATTATCTTGTTTAAAAAAAATGCAACTTTCAATCACAAATCAGCATTGTATTGTTTTTTCAGCTGAAGGAAGAGCAGAGAAAACACAGAGCAAGAGTCGCACACAGCAAGCGTCTCTGGGCTGGAGTGGTGAGATGTTATTTTCATTTGGATTTTCTTTATGGTTTTCTTTTTCTTTCTGGTATAGTGGGATTTTTTTGGTTATAGGCAGATCAGCATTGTAGCCAAGGTAATCACAAATCCATCACAAATTGCCGAGTACCAAGTCAAGTCACGAGCTAAAGTCTCAATGAAATCTGTTGTTCTTGTTGCCAGGGTGATTCGCTGCTGTTAGGAGATCTGATGGTGTTGCTAGGGGCAGTGGGTGCTACGGAGTTCGCTGGATGCACGCCATCTTTCTGCGCGGCTCATGGTCTACGCTACAAAGCGATGGCTGAAATCAGGAGACTACGTAGGCAACTCACCAATGCTGGTATTAAAACTTGATGTGATGCTCTTTGTTAAAGTCTTATACAAAGTAAGAATAAGACAAGGCAAGCCCTTAAAGCTGGTCCCAGAGTGCACACAATTCAATTCAGTCGATTTAGAATGGCTATTCACTGGATGTCTTTTCATCAATTGGTGTACGCAATGGGTCAGATGTAGTCCATTCACTACTGGGTAATCCTATACGATAGCACTGCCAGGATCCCAAGTGACAGCGAGTCAGTCAGTCAGTGACTCAGGCACAAGCCAAAAATATGAGAAGTAAAAATTTTAAAATATGCAAATAAAGTTCAAAATTAAAACATTACTTTTTATAGCTAAGTTATTATGTTATACACACTTTAGGGTGTAGCTTGAAGTGCATTTTCCTGTTACTGTCTGTTGTAGTGAACTCAGTGCAGTCGGATTACGAGGCCGTTCTGGACCCAAAGATGAACCCCCCTAATGCAAAGCAGGTAAGATCCAAAACATGGAAAACACATCTAAGCTGAGTTTGCTTAAAAAGATGGTAAATTGTGTAGACTTAATCTACAGTACATGTAGCTAGGCCTATACTAAAACATATACATTATCCAATTGCAAGTCATCACAAGCCATAAAAGGTGGATCACAATAAGTAATCCAGTCTCAAGCCAGGAAACAAGCCACTATTACAAACGATTGGTGATAAAGAAATCCCTTTGTCCTTGTTCTGCCCCTCTTGCTTGTGACCCTATGATTGTACCTGTGAACAGGGGTGTAGCTGGAGGAGTGTAATTTGTGTTTTTGTCAACCAACCAACCAAAATGTGTGGGCAAAAGTGTTCATTGTATGCCACGAAGAGAAGTGCTACCTATTCGCTCTTTTCACACTTTGCCATGGGCATGCACAGCCTCGATCTGGCAACTTTACACAATAAATATAGCTGGTTCAGTGATCACTGAACCGGCTATTTTTATTGTGTCCAGTTGCCAGATTGAGGCTCTGCATGCCCAATGGCGGAGTGTGAAAAGAGCGAATAGTCTGATATTGTCCAGTTCCATCTGCGTTGAATAGTCCCCCCCCCCCCATTAGTTGGTGAAACCTACCATTATATTGAAAGGGTTTTCATGGCGCTGATGCCTAACAACTTCTCCAGCATTTACTCATTGAATTTATGTTGGTCTCAAGATGTAAGTATAAAGTGTCCAGTGATGTGTGTTCTGGTTGGTTGCAGGTGCAGTTGTTGAGGCAGATTGTGCTGTCTGGCATGCCCCATCACGTGGCAAGGTGAGAAATGCATTTTAAAAAGGGAAAGTCCTACCGTCTTGAAAATGGATAATGCAGAGTGCGTTTTTAATTTTAATTGGAATTTTATAACAAGTCTGTATTAGACAGTGAAATCACACTATTGCGGCTGGTTCATACTTGGATTATAAGCAAACATGAATTTGCAACGAAGCGGAAAGTGTTTATGCTACCCAAGTGAACAAGTTTCTGGCACATTTCACTGAAAAGCAGTCTTTGATGTGGGATTGATGATAATAACGGGCTTAAACATAGCTTGACTAAACACATGACTGCGAATGTATAAACTCTTCAAAGGATTGTAGTTTGCACTTTTTTTCAGCATTCTCGATATTTGTACATATAAATGAGGACACATTTACATTAATAATGATTATTAACGTTTCCAAGAAATGAAAATAAAAGTAAAACCTTTTTCTTACGTTGAAGGAAAATGCCACAAACAGAGGAGCAGAAAGACAAGAACGCCTATCAGAGTATGGGCATAGAGGGCGCTGTTTTCATTCACCCAGACTCGGTACTTGTCAAGAAGCAGCCAGAGTTTGTGGTTTACCAGGAGGTCATTGAGACGTCCAGACCCTACATGAGAGGTTGGAGTTGTTATTATTATTGTAGTGGAATTTCTTTTTCTTAAAAATTTGAAATGCTTCATGCTGTTTCTGACAACTGAGGGCGCTGTTGGTGTGATGTCACTTCAGTTAGGCTGCATCCGAATCAGCTGTCTAGAGCTAGATCTAGGTCTGCGTCCATTGAAAATACGTGGGGACTCACTGACAATGGACGTGGTTGTAGCTCTGGAATCCCGTTTCGGACACGGGCGTATATACTCTACACTTGAAATATACAAATACATTTTTGTGAAGTTTTGGCTCAGTGGCTGCCATACATTTTGGGATAACAGAGAAAATATATGCAACATAGTTTGGGGTCAAGTAACTAGATTCCGTTGCCATCGCAGGTAAAAAAAGTTTGAAACCACATTCAATGATTGTTTCTTTCAATCAAAACAATCTCTGGCAGAAGAATTTCGCGATGTATTTGGGACTAGTACTATCTTCACTTTGAGCAAAGTTTTCTCCTAAATCAATGGGTACGCTTTTGAGTACTTACCAAGGTTCCTATGTGCCTTGAACTATGGTTAAACATATCGTTGGGTGCACCCCGAAGTGACGTATCATCTATGGTTTTTGTGCACACGATACGTCACTTCGTGGTGCGACCGACAACATTGTTCAGTCCTGAGGTAATCATATTTCTTTCTTCTTGTCCCGTTTCAGGCGTGTCAGCGATTGAGTCGGAATGGCTACCAGTTGTCCTCCCTCACCTGTGCACCTTCTCCAAGCCGATGGAGGAACCGGCCCCATCTTACCACGAAGCAACAGGGACAGTGCACTGTCACATGACCAGCACATTTGGTATGTGGAGACATAAGGTTCTACAGACATTTGCATGGATAACAGGCAGTTTATTTACGTGTCTGTGGGTGTATTTGAATATTTCCTGTTATTTATAAAAAAAAAAAATTATTGTGAGATATGTATACTCAAGACACACTCCTCCATGTTTTTTGAAAATATATGTTTTGGATATGTTTGTACCTCGGACAGAGGAGGACTATTGAGGGCCGGTCTCAATGCATATCCGGGACGACTTTCCCGCAAATGAAAATTTCCTTGGAAAATATCTATGACAAATGCAGAGCTTCTTCCGGACAAAGTGAATGATTCTACCCGCAGCTTGCTGGAACTCGTCCCAGATATGAATTGAGACGGGCCCTTAAACATCAACAATCCGAGGGTTGGGAAGAATTGGAGAATCCCTTTTCATAAATTCTTTTTTAAAAAAATGGAATATTTACAAATGCAGCTATTAACTTGGTATAAAAAAGTGCAGTAGAAGGTTACTCTACTGAAGGAATATAGCTGGGTGTGCAAAACATTGTCAAGTTGATTCAACTGGCCCATATCGGACAGTTGGAGCAGTTACAATTGTTTTTCTGTCACTAATTCAGCCAACTAAATTAGAAGTGCATTTTGTTAACCTTATTGGTTGAAGGAGCCCGAAGTGCATACATACCTACCAGTAGCGTATCCAGCTTTGGATGTCAGGGAGGGGGGGGGGGCTGGCTAGTACCCACCTTCCAAATGGGGGCAGACTGCCCCCTCTGCCCCTCCCCCCCCCCCCCCCCCCCCCCATTGGATACGCCACTGATACCTACGAACATTGTTCCTCCTAAAATTGGTAGGCTCCTAATTTTGTTCACCAAATTAGACTAAAGTCCACACAAACGTTGTTCAAAATGCTCTGGCATTCCTGACCACATATATATGCTGACAATGCTGGGATTTTACATTCAGTTGTTGATAATGGATTTATTTGTGTTCTCAGGTCGTAATGCCTGGCTGTTGCCTGCCGTTGATCTAGAGTATCCCAAGAGTCTAGAGAGATTCAAGTGGTTTGCTAGGTTCTTACTGGAGGGAAAGGTAAATATTAGGTCTTGGCTATTGCATGTAGTTTGCATACAAGCAAAACTTGATTGCATTACTAAGGGAATTAATGTGTGCTCGGCTGGTTTTAAACACTCTGTTTAAGACTGGTTGGAGTCTGGATGCTTCGGCTCGGGTAATATCAACATCCAGACTCCAACTGGTCTGAAGCAGAGTGTTTAAAACCGACCAAGCACACATTTATTTCCATTCATAAATATCTTTTCTTTAATAAAAAATATATCAAAACTGTTCAGTCCAAAAGTCAAAACAAGTAAAAATTATAAATTTCCAACGATTTTGTCAATAATTTTACTTCTTGTTTTTCATAACACCCCTGTAGCTATATTATGGTAGTGTCCATGTCATTAACTACTCCTAAAACCGGCCATGTGACAGGCTCTCGACCAATAGGGATGGGTAAACTGTCTTAGGTCATTACGAATATAAAATATGCTTAAGTAAGCACAACATTTTCTCTCACAGTGTGTGTTGAGTTTTTTTCACAAATGGAAGTAGCATGAAATTGGATCTCACACATACTATCTGTCCTGTCCCAGAAAAAAAATTGTCTTTTTTTGGGCATGCTGAGGTTTTTCTGTGGATGACACTATGTAGATAACACTTCTTGTCTGTACTGATTTGGTTGTAGGTGATTCCATCATTGAAGGATAACACCTCATTTTTTCTGTCGTCACCCAGCACAATGATCAAAACCTGGGCCAAGTAAGTACCACTGTTAACTTACAGAAAGTCCTTTCCAGAAAGGTTCCTGAATCATCCAAAATCCACCAGTGTGAAACATTTGAGTACTTCAGTGGGCATCACGTGAAGTAATAAACCTTTTGTAGATGATGTCACATCTGAGGGTACCTCTGTGGTACCAATGGGTAGACAGTTTGTACTCTCATTGTCACTGAATTTCAAGAACAAAAGTTGCCCTCACTGAGGGCCCATTGTGCAAGGGGTCTATGCGCTCAATGCGTGAACAAGAGAGGGCTCTATTTTACCACTTTGAAAGCCCCATGGACGGGACACACCGTGTGCACACACAGTCGTTGTTTGCTATGCTTCCAAGGATCGGCTTTGTTGTTTTACTTTGTTCCCTTATCTAAACCTTTCCCATAGACCAAGCACGCAAACCGGCATTCGAGGATAAAGGGACCTTCGATCGAGACCACAAAAGAAGCTTTGTGCTCAATTTGTGTGTGATCCTTGGTCGTAAAGCCATGTAGGAGCATACCGGTTCACGTGTGTATTGCGTGAAGTACGCAAGGGTTAGTTTATCTGAATGTGTACAAAGCCAAAGCATCGCCAGGCGTCGTCAGCAACATGTTTGAATGTCTCTCCCAGTGGTCTCCCCAAACTCTCTCTTTCAATAGCATTGTGGAGGTACATGTGCAAGGAGCCCATGGTACCTGGGCTTACGTCTCTTCCTTAATCCTGCAAAATCCTTACTCACACAAAAAAGTTGGATTTTGAAGGATTTGGTACAAATGTACCAAATGCACCAGTACCAAATTACATGCTCGAGTCGCACATTGTACTTCCTTATGTGTTGGACATTTGTCCAAGTATGCCGGATATTGATTAAGGTCGTGATTGGTTAAAGCATACTGGGGGCGGAGCTTTACGATTCGGTCAATTGGAAGTCTAGATCTCCATGTGACATTTTTCAAGATGGCCATAAATTTCATAAATAGCTGGCATTGGCATTGACAAACATTATAGCTTAAGAGTTGCATCCAGGATAAATTGAGGCAAGTTTAATTTATAAGTTGCAAGACTCTGATGAAATTTGTTGGAATCATCCTGTAATTAATATTAATTTATAAACAATGCTGATAAGTTCATTATGGGAAGTTTCCTGTTAAATTGTTCAGTATCTTGCAACGAATTAATGATACAGTGAGCATATTTGCCTGTTCTCATATATTTCATTTCATTTATTATTTTGTAAACGGTTGCCATACCTAGAAATAGAACAAACGGATATTCCTATAGCTTTTTCCCACGTGCTGCATCTCTTTGGAATTACTTACCTGGTGCTTGTTTCCCTCCAATCTTTGATTTGTCCTGTTTCAAGAGGAATGTCAATTCCTACCTTCAGTTTTCCTGAGTACCTACACACATGTACTCTTCTTTGGATTTCTCTTGTAGCGTTGTACCTGGAGTGACTTGTTCAGGGTAAATATATATGCTTTCAAAAAAACTTAAAACTTATCTTGGATATTTATTGAGATCCCTCATTTTTTTCCAAGATTACAGCCTCGGACGGAGACCTTTCTCAAGACACTGATTGCTGAGGATGTTGATTGTAAGGATGCCTTGATAAAGGCCTGGAGACAAAATGACAAGTGTAAGTACAGAGATGTCACATGTCATCCGATCCGATCAAACGTGACACTTAGCCAGGGTACTTCTTGTTTTAGCAACTTTTCTTCTGAAATTGTCTTTCGTTGACGTTTCACACGAAATGATAAGAACATGTATGTAGGAGAGTTGCACAGAACCTATGCTTGGACAGTTTGAGCAGAATTGGAGAGAAAAAAATGGGAGAAAACTGCAAATACAAATTTATGATCAAATGCCTTTTATTATGGGCCATATCAGCCTCGGTCTAAAATGTTGGCCACCGGTATCAAATGAGGGAAATAATCGTCATAGCGATTTTTGGAAAGGTATACACCTCCAGAGTCGGAAAATATGTGATAACATTGCAGCAGTGGCAGCTTTTTGGGTGTTATCCCCCTTTTTTTTCAAATTTGTCCATCAAAATGCTTGTTACCACTCTAGGGGCGGCATACCTTGCGCATGCGCACTATAATCATTTATGCCCTGGTTTGATACTGACCAAACCCCCAGGCTGACGGCCTATTATGGGTTTTGAAATTTGACACTCCATCCCGTTCCTGTACAGGAAAGGGTAGAATACAAAAAGTGCTCCAGAATTGTGAGAACTATATATCCACAGATTTTTATACTGTACATGTATCGTGTAGGCCTAACAATTAATCCTGCTTATTTCATTCTCAATGATATCTTTTGTTATTGCTACAGATCTGCTGAGTGCATACTGTGACTGGCTTCATCGTGACAAGCATGCGGAGGTGATGCTAAAATGGCCGCCAGTCCAACTGGGCTAGTCTGCCCACCACGTGCCAAAAACCTCAAATTGACGTATTTGTTCATTTCTAGAGATGGCAGGCTCTGAAAACAAAACTTGCAGCATTCATGAACTGCTTAGTCGCCGTTTACCAACTACTTTGCAGAACGCCGAGGCCAAAGGGTTACAGTGTCTAATCATGTGCGATGGTACACGGGTCCAACCCCGACTGCAAACATGGTGTGTGTGTTCTTGGGCAAGACACTTTACTACAATTGCCTCTCTCCACCCAGGAGTATAAATGGGTACCTGTGAGGGTAGAGGCCAGATTGCGCTAATGCTTGTGTTCTTGGGCAAGACACTTTACTTCAATTGTCTCTCTCCACCCAGGAGTATAAGTGGGTACCTGTGAGGGTAGAGGCCAGATTGTTCTGATGCTCGTGTTCTTGGGCAAGACACTTGACTACAATTGCCTCTCTACACCCAGGAGTATAAATGGGTACATGTGAGGGTAGAGACCAGATTGCACTAATGCTTGTGTTCTTGGGCAAGACACTTTACTACAATTGCCTCTCTTCACCCAGGAGTATAAATGGGTACCTGTGAGGGTAGAGTCCAGATTGCACTGATGCTTGTGTTCTTGGGCAAGACACTTTACTACAATTGCCTCTCTCCACCCAGGAGTATAAGTGGGAACATGTTAGGGTAGACACCAGATTGTGCTGATCTTGAGCTACTGCAGAAAAATGGCCGCATTGCCTGATGAACAGGGGTATTGGGTAATAAGTATGAAGTGCTTAGAGACTTTTACCGCATGATTATTGTTAGTCCCAAGGTGCACGTCACAACACTAGAAGATTGACAGATTACAAGGCTGTTATATTTGTGAAGTATGCAATGTACAGCATCCAAATGTCAGCTCTGGAATTTGCACAGTGGTTATTTTAGCCCACATTTTTAATTTTCCTTTGCTATATAGTGTCCATATTCATTGGAAAATATGGTAATATATATTATGTAAAGGACCTTGAAAGATGAGGATTGTGTATTATTTATTTTTTCCTCCATGCTGTACGGATGAAAATTGGACTTGCATTTCAACTTTCCAATTATACAAACTAATATTTCCATGTTTATTGGATGAAAGTTAATACGCTGGTTGAAAAATAAAAAGATATGGGAAACCGTGAGCCTTTTGTCATGTTTTATTACAAAGATATGCGCAGAAAAAACAAAGGTACATTACATACATTTAGTGAAATGTAACCAGTTCTTGAGGGCAAATACCTTTCTGTATACCTTATGGGTGGCTTGTGCGTAAAGCGCTCCCCTCTCTCCACTGTGGCCCTGGTTCGAATCTCATCCACGGACCATACATGCCATACATGGATAGAGTTGTGTATTGGTTCTCTCCTATGCCACAAAGGTTTTCCTTCCTCCGGAAAAATCAAACACTTTCGATCTCTGGCTGTGCTCCGTGGTCATTATCATGCTTGGGTTGTATGGCAGCTGCCAAAGGCGTCTTTATGCCAGCAGCTCGATGTAGTGGTTATGCCTGACAAGGTTTGGGCGAGTCCCAAGGGGAATTCATGTGTCACGAGGACAAAATGCCCCCAGCCCTATATATGACAACCCAATGATAAAGTATAGGGCTGGGGTAACCCCAGCAACCCCCACCTATTATGGTACCAACCAGTGGTGTGGTCAAGTCTATCAAAAGTCAATCTTCAGTCCTTTCAGAAGTTCAGTCACAAGTAACAGGGGATAAACAACAAAGGAATGCCTTTGTCACCGTTCATTTGAATAGCTTGCGACTTGTCTTGAGAATGTGCGACTTGAGATTTATGAACATTCCCATCCCATATTAAATTCTCATTATTAAAAGTCAACTTTGTCGTGAAATTAATCCCAAATGGATGTTTCAAGGATGTTTACCTGGGGCTTAAAGGACTAATCCTGTATGAAGGTGTTTGAATATTGATTCATGCTCCACTCGTCTCCAGAGGTATTTCTGCGTTGTTTGGAGAAAAGTCAATTTTTGGCCAAATTTGGTTCAAAATGTAAGGCTAACCCCTTGGTTTTTTTTCAATTTTGGCCAAAAAAATGAAATTCCTTGAAACTTGCAGGAAAGATGCCTTAGGTAACCCTGAACACATTCCAATTCAATTTGGGAACAGATGTGCCTTTGAAAAGAAAATTTGGCCGAAAATTAAAGGTAAAAACAGTCAAAATTCGGTTTTATTTACATGTATTTCCTCCCTTCAAAATGGATGATATTTGCCTAGATCTGCCAAAATGTGTGTGTTTGAATATTGATTCATGCTCCACTCGTCTCCAGAGGTATTTCTGCGTTGCTTGGAGAAAAGTCAATTTTTGGCCAAATTTGGTTCAAAATGTAAGGCTAACCCCTTGGTTTTTTTTTCAATTTTGGCCAAAAAATGAAATTCCTTGAAACTTGCAGGAAAGATGCCTAGGGTAACCCTGAACACATTCCAATTCAATTTGGGAACAGATGTGCATTTGAAAAGATAATTTGGCTGAAAATTTAGGGTAAAAACAGTCAAAATTTGGTTTTATTTACATGTATTTCCTCCCTCACAAGTGGATGATATTTGCCTAGATCTGCCAAAATGTGGGTGTTTGAATATTGAAACATGCTCCACTCGTCTCCAGAGGTATTTCTGCGTTGTTTTGAGAAAAGTCAATTTTTGGCTTAAATTGGTTCAAAATGTAAGGCTAACCCCTTGGGTTTTTTTCAATTTTGGCCAAAAAATGAAATTCCTTGAAACTTGCAGGAAAGATGCCTAAGGTAACCCTGAACACATTCCAATTCAATTTGGGAACAGATGTGCCTTTGAAAAGATATTTGGCCGAAAATTTAGGGTAAAAACAGTCAAAATTCGGTTTTATTTACATGTATTTCCTCCCTCCAAAATGGATGATATTTGCCTAGATCTGCCAAAATGTGGGTGTTTGAATATTGATTCATGCTCCACTCGTCTCCAGAGGTATTTCTGCGTTGTTTTGAGAAAAGTCAATTTATTGGCCAAATTTGGTTCAAAATGTAAGGCTAACCCTTGTTTTTTTTCAATTTTGGCCAAAAAATGAAATTCCTTGAAACTTGCAGGAAAGATGCCTAAGGTAACCCTGAACACATTCCAATTCAATTTGGGAACAGATGTGCCTTTGAAAAGATAGTTTGGCCGAAAATTTAGGGTAAAAACAGTCAAAAATCGGTTTTATTTACATGTATTTCCTCCCTCCAAAATGGATGATATTTGCCTAGATCTGCCAAAATGTGGGTGTTTGAATATTGATTCATGCTCCACTCGTCTCCAGAGGTATTTCTGCGTTGTTTTGAGAAAGTCAATTTTTGGCCAAATTTGGTTCAAAATGTAAGGCTAACCCCTTGTTTTTTTTCAATTTTGGCCAAAAAATGAAATTCCTTGAAACTTGCAGGAAAGTTGCCTAAGGTAACCCTGAACACATTCCAACTCAATTTGGGAACAGATGTGCCTTTGAAAAGATAATTTGGCCGAAAATTAAGGGTAAAAACAGTCAAAATTCGGTTTTATTTACATGTATTTCCTCCCTCACAAGTGGATGATATTTGCCTAGATCTGCCAAAATGTGGGTGTTTGAATATTGATTCATGCTCCACTCGTCTCCAGAGGTATTTCTGCGTTGTTTTGAGAAAAGTCAATTTTTGTCCAAATTTGATTCAAAATGTAAGGCTAACCCCTTTTTTTTTTCAATTTTGGCCAAAAAATGAAATTCCTTGAAACTTGCAGGAAAGATGCCTATGGTAACCCTGAACACATTCCAATTCAATTTGGGAACAGATGTGCCTTTGAAAAGATAATTTGGCCGAAAATTTAGTGTAAAAACAGTCAAAAATCGGTTTTATTTACATGTATTTCCTCCCTCCAAAATGGATGATATTTGCCTAGATCTGCCAAAATGAGGGTGCTTGAATATTGATTCATGCTCCACTGGTCTCCAGAGGTATTTCTGCGTTGTTTTGAGAAAAGTCAATTTATTGGCCAAATTTGGTTCAAAATGTAAGGCTAACCCCTTGTTTTTTTTTCAATTTTGGCCAAAAAATGAAATTCCTTGAAACTTGCAGGAAAGATGCCTATGGTAACCCTGAACACATTCCAATTCAATTTGGGAACAGATGTGCATTTGAAAAGATTATTTGGCCGAAAATTTAGGGTAAAAACAGTCAAAATCGGTTTTATTTACATGTATTTCCTCCTCACAAGTGGATGATATTTGCCTAGATCTGCCAAAATGTGGGTGTTTGAATATTGATTCATGCTCCACTCGTCTCCAGAGGTATTTCTGCGTTGTTTTGAGAAAAGTCAATTTTTGTCCAAATTTGGTTCAAAATGTAAGGCTAACCCCTTGTTTTTTTTCAATTTTGGCCAAAAAATGAAATTCCTTGAAACTTGCAGGAAAGATGCCTTTAGGTAACCCTGAACACATTCCAATTCAATTTGGGAACAGATGTGCCTTTGAAAAGAAAATTTGGCCGAAAATTAAGGGTAAAAACAGTCAAAATTCGGTTTTATTTACATGTATTTCCTCCCTTCAAAATGGATGATATTTGCCTAGATCTGCCAAAATGTGTGTGTTTGAATATTGATTCATGCTCCACTCGTCTCCAGAGGTATTTCTGCGTTGCTTGGAGAAAAGTCAATTTTTGGCCAAATTTGGTTCAAAATGTAAGGCTAACCCCTTGGTTTTTTTTTCAATTTTGGCCAAAAAATGAAATTCCTTGAAACTTGCAGGAAAGATGCCTAGGGTAACCCTGAACACATTCCAATTCAATTTGGGAACAGATGTGCATTTGAAAAGATAATTTGGCTGAAAATTTAGGGTAAAAACAGTCAAAATTTGGTTTTATTTACATGTATTTCCTCCCTCACAAGTGGATGATATTTGCCTTGATCTGCCAAAATGTGGGTGTTTGAATATTGAAACATGCTCCACTCGTCTCCAGAGGTATTTCTGCGTTGTTTTGAGAAAAGTCAATTTTTGGCTTAAATTGGTTCAAAATGTAAGGCTAACCCCTTGGGTTTTTTTCAATTTTGGCCAAAAAATGAAATTCCTTGAAACTTGCAGGAAAGATGCCTAAGGTAACCCTGAACACATTCCAATTCAATTTGGGAACAGATGTGCATTTGAAAAGATAATTTGGCTGAAAATTTAGGGTAAAAACAGTCAAAATTTGGTTTTATTTACATGTATTTCCTCCCTCACAAGTGGATGATATTTGCCTAGATCTGCCAAAATGTGTGTGTTTGAATAATGATTCATGCTCCACTCGTCTCCAGAGGTGTTTCTGCG